GTGTAGTTAAGTAAGAGTCACATGAAGAAATTCTTTACGCATGCCACTGCCCATAAGCACTGTATTTGGTATCAAGCCTGGTACCCAGGCTGTTTCCGGGGGAGGAGAAACTGGCTGGGGGACCACTGTTGATGCATGTGCATGGAATTCCAGATAAATTGTTTGAAGCATGTCGTCCTGCCAATGCGATCCAGCGATTAAACGGTACGCAAGTGTAGCTGTTGTTTTTTCTCTTAAAGCGTCTCCCTTAGCTTAATGGAAGTATTACCGATTTACCTAATCCAGTCGGTACCCAAAGAAACAGGTCTTTACCGTTATACATGTGGCGAACAGCCTCGATTAGCTCGGACTTAGAGGTAATGAAGGTCTTCCAAGGCCAAGCTTTACAGCATCAAAAACCCTGGCATATCTAGTGGTAAAATCGTCAAAGCCGCTATTGGACCTGGATCTGCATGTGCAGCACCAGCATGCTCTTGTCCTGTGTGGCTGATCATAACACCGAAGTCATTCTCTGCTTTTGAGAATTTAGCCGTTAAGGTAAAAAGAATGAGCGAGAAACCGAAACGAGGTGAACCAAGGTGGAAGTGATTTTTATGCTATCCAGATCTCTTTTCCAGCACAGCCAATTATATTGAAGCCAACGGAGCCACGCCCCTTGCTTTGATTAGGTACGGGTCTTGAAATGACCAGTTTTCCACAGTCTGTTGTGCATACACCAAGACTTGGCTTAGGATTTCTGACCTTAGAATTTGTATGTAGTGATCCATAGATTAGTTTATATTTCCAACCTCCTCTTCACATATGTTTGATGTAAATCGCCCTTTTACCATGTGTTGTATCCATTTGTGCAACTGTTCCATACACACAGAGTTAAGTTATTAACTTCAGAGTTTCATAACGGTCAAAATTGGTAATGAAGAGGAGGCTATTGCAACTCCCAGTTCGTTTTCCCGTTGTCCATACATTCAGTTGTTTTTCACTGGCTACACTTTCCAGGAGAGCAGCTCACTGCGTGTCTTTCCCCTTGTGCAGCTGGGTTAGTTTGTCAGTCTCAGTATATCTCTGTTGATAACTATCCTTGCAGACAGTCCGCTAGTTGTGTTCATGTTTCTGCTGTTCTTCATGCTCTGGCAGACCTAACTCCAAAGCGCCATATTAGTGAAGACTACGCAACATTAGGAAGAACTTCCCGTAACTTCGTTCGTCTGTCGATGGAATGAACCCAGGAAACGTAAGCACAGTGCACTTCCCTTGTCACAGGCCGTTTTTCAAAAACACGATTATTCGAGACCTATTAAGAGGAGAGTCGTACTCTTGAAGACTTCGATCTACAGTATTGGGGTACAGCAGGTTCTCGTTTACCCAGATTCTTGGATCGTGTGAGGGGACAGGACTTGTGCATATCTCTTATCTTTGATGAGAGATGCCAACATTGGAGTGAGGATGAGTCGGATGAACCCTCTACCGTTCCCAGAGTTAACATCCCTATTATCTCTGTTTTGAAGGAAACAATAACATGCTCTCTCCACCGATACTTGGCCTCTAGCAGTGTGTGTAACAGTAAGTACACAGTGTATGTTGCACTGCGCATAGATGCCTTGACTGCTGTACGGACATGGCAGTAGTCAGGTCGATTTAGATTAACTTCCATCTTTTCAAGACGACCTGAATCCCACGACACATATCCCTGTTTCAGAGCACGAAAAGCTCCGATAGTGTTTTTGTTACAGCCAGTATGGCCAGCCAGGTAAGTGTATACCAGACCTATGCAATAAATATGTCTTTATGTATATAGCTATATTCTATATTTGAATGCAGCAGTATTTACCAGCTGTAACAGATGGAAGTCTGGACAGAAATGGATGTGGATCAGGGCTTAGACTGAGTGGAACAGGTAGCCAACCCTGTGGTGGTTCTGGTGGAGGTCCCAATGGATTTACTTTGGCACCAGAGTTAGCCAGAAACTGATACTTGTTATACAAGTATGATCCATCCACATCCACTACAGAGTCAGACGTTCCTTCAGTAATTAGTTCTTTCATTCTATAACACAGGTGTATCTAACATTGCACTATCTATGATGAGAAAAGACCCTTACTTGGCAATCAAAGCTGCTTTCTTGGAGGATGAAGGCGTTGCAACTCCCCTACACACTAGCCACCACTTCAAGGCTGGTACAGTGTGCTGCTCAAAGGAATATCAGCCGGCGCTAACACAATGTCAGTCATCTCGCGACAGTTCAAGCTACCAGCTCCGTTCGAACGAGATTTAGACAATACTACATGGGACTCATTTCTCTATTTCGTTTAAATAGATCGATACGGCAGAGTTTTGCGCTAGGGAGGCGTTGAGTGTGCCGCGGACACCGACGTCCATTGAAAATGTATGGAGTAGTCCGGATGTGACGTCAGAAATTTCCTCCCACATATTTTTGCTTACATGCAACTGGCCTATTGGTCAACGAATAGTTGTGGTCATGTAGTTCCTGTGTGGCAAGCCTGAACCGCCACCTTAAAGAAAAATAATTTGAGCCAGGACACACTACAGCGGCGGATTCTTGTAATAGAGCGGTGGAGTGTAACTATAGCACCACTCTTTAGTAAGCCGGGGGCATATAAATACACCCAGAGCCTCCATAAGTCCATAAGAATTTATATAGGGCTATAATACTAGGCATTAAAATGTTGTACATCAATTTCTGCTTATTTAAGGAGATACCCATGGCGTTAATGAGAATCCTACAATACAAACCCCCCGGGTATTGACTAGGTAGCACCCATTCAGCAAAAAATAGCAGGTTATTTCAGTTTTGAAATGTGAACTGCACTGGAAAACTTACGGCCTCATAAAGGTATTGAGGTATCTGAGTTGTCTTTCCTGATCCAGTTTCTCCTTCTACAATCAAAACCTGTATAACAAAATAAAACCAAAACTTCATTGGAAATGACAGCAAAACAGTGCTTGTTTGGCATATTTCTGAAACAAAGGTGTTCATTAACCCTCGGTGCGCATGCACAGCGAGGGTTATGGTAGTCGTTCTGTCTGTCTGTGTGTCGACGCTTATTCTGGCACTACAGGCTACGAGGTGGCCAATGAGCGATACCAGAACCTGAAATTAAATTAGGCGATTTTCCTGAAACGACTGCGTTCGAGAGATATGCAGTGAAAACAAGCGAAAAAGCCAATACGCACAATCGCGCTGGCGTACCTCGAACTGATCGGCTTACTCCACGTACCTGGGAGGCACAAGAAGATACAACAGAGGGCATGTATCGACTCCCGCATGCTATCTACTAGTGTAGCTAGCCCGTGTCAGATTCTACGCGAGCTACTAGCAAGAGACCGGGAGTAACTGCATAGCCTAGCCCCCAGCCCATCAATTAGCGATACCGCACATGTGTAGTGCGCTGAGGGTTTGCACTTCAGTGCTTTTCATTTATGCCTGCACCTCATTAAAAGCACAGGAATAAAGGTATGTGGCAGACAAATGCCTCACCCCCACATTGAACCTTTTCATAGAGGACATAAAGGTGCATGTGATGACTAGCAATAGGTAGTCTAAATATAAGTTAGTTGCCGATTCGAGGAAACTACGCGGATTTAGAAAGCCACGGGCCCTTGGGATGTAGCTGTCCAAGCGCCAGCGAGGACGCTACTAGAGGGCCCGAGGCTTTCTAAATCACGTAGTTTCCTCGAAGAATTGGCGCCTAACTCATTTAGAGCCATCGCAACCACGCCTTCAATTCGTAAGACGCAAAGCATGCGGACGGCAAACAAAGATTCTGGAGTGGTTCATTCTCACGAACAACCAGGTGTCTTCTAGCAGGTAGCGACGCATGAGTACGGAGACCTATAGCTTACAGCTCCAGCGAGAAGACATGCGAAAAGGGCACAGTGGCGACCCTGCCTATTATTGCGTGACAGAGCCGCGCTGGCAGCCGACAAGCGCCTCTCTTTCACTCTGTTAGCTTGCCTGCAGTTAAGGGTGCTGGGTCTCGAGCTACACTTTCTATGCAGAGCTCGTTGGCGTCTTTCAGAATTTTCCGTGTTGTAGCCACGTTTCTGCGCTTGATAACGACGGAATGCGCCTTGGGGAGGATTTATATATGTAGAAGTCCGCTGACCAGCCAGTGGAATACTAAGTGAAATAGTATTCCTCTGATTTACCAATCAGATTAAGCCTGGCTCTAAATAATGTAGATGCAATTGTACACACTTCCTGCTTAGTTAGAATTTTGCGTAGGAGCAATAAATTAGGACTGTGTCTGAAACAAAGTATAAATTATGAACACCTGTAGGCAAAAATTTACCACTGTAGTTGGAGTTATACTTATTACCTGATTCTCCTCTATGGCAGAGAGTAATGCTTCTCTGTAAGAGTATATGGGCAAGCTTCTCCGTGTCTATAAAATAAAAACGGAGAATTCACAGTATTACACAAAGAAATTGCCAGAGACTATAACATACTACACTTACGACAGCTGGGATAATAATATTTTCTGAATACATGTTGAGTTGCCCTGGTAGCTCAGTTGGTAGAGTGCTCGCCTAGACTGCAGAGAGTCGTGGGTTCGAATCACACCCAGAAGAGCTCTTTCTTTTCTTTTTTTGTTTGAATCCCACCCAGGGCAGATCTTCTTCTTTTGTTGACTTGTTTGCCTTGCCTTGCCTTTCTACTTCGATACCAAGTTGTTGAGACATGCAGTACCAGCGTCACCCAAGCCAATTTGTGGGAGGGGAAAAGAGCCTGTGTGATGTATTTATCTGTATGTATGTCATGCCCAGTCAGGTAACATCATATTACGTCATATTGATTCATAAAAACTGTTATTACACTCCTGTCAAAAATCAACAAAGTCAAGCAAGCTCGACGCCTATTGTGACTTACATTGTAAGCGGCACAGGCTCTAGCTGACGAAGCTGTGACTACAACAGAAGCTTGCCATGAGGGCACACGACTTCGCCAGTACTAGAAGACTGAGAAGAGCTAGCGCCCACAACCGACAGAGCCTCGTTCACTGATAGTGTGGGAAAATAGAAAGCTCACCTCAACCGCAACCATAACCTACAGTAAAAAAGATATGAGTCCAACACAAGGGGCCAGGGAAATGCTATGTATGCAGCAGAACTCACTAAGATAGCAAAAAACGGCACTGACATCTCCTGTTCCTACCACCTCTTTCATCTTTAACAACCTCACTCCCCATTACATCCCATGAGACTTTGCAGCTAAGTCCGTCATTATCGCGCGCGGTGATCGTTAGCTCAAAGCATATTTCCCCCATTTCTTCTCTTGCCAGTTTCTCCTCTGCTATTTCTCTATTAACAACCTCCCCCCCCCTTCCTACGTGCCCTCAGGCCCATGGTATCGGAAAAAACAGCAGAAAACCAAGGCAGCTACAATGTCCCTCAGTTTTACAGTGGCACCAAGAGAAGACTTGGGTTTTGACTAAAGAACAGAAAAAGAGCCCTAGAACAGCTCCAGCGGGGGTGACTTCTTAACAAAAATATTTGACAGCAGTATTGTCCCTTTGGGTGCGACCAGTGACAGCTGCTTTCGAAATCGGTTCAACCTGAACGTAAAAAAGGCAGCAACTGAGGCAGAATTGGTTGTGGGATTTAAAGAAGACTGTTCACCGCTACAGGAATGATTGTTTTGAGAATTAAAGCAACTTAAATCCAAGGGGAATAACACTGCGCTCCGTGATTGGGTATTAACCGCATTCCGTGCCTCCACAATTTCCATGCTCAATTTCTCTTATCACCGCTTTTCGTTGGTTCAATTAAACAAGGTGGACCGATGGAAACGAACAAGATGTCGTTTGCTATCGGAGGACGTTTCTCATTAGCTCCGCAGCACACACCGTCCACCACCACAATGTAGCAATGAACACCATGGATCAGACAAAAAGAAGAGGAAATACCTTGATGAATACACTAACGAAGGGCAGAGTTGGATATGGGGGGAGAAAGACAGACTGGAAATTCCTCCCAAATCTAAAGGAAGTGGGATCATGGTGTCCGATTTTGTGGAGTAGCATGGAGGATTCCGCAAACTGACCGAATTTGAAATACCAAGGGTAAAAACCCTGCAATAACCAAGAATGCTTGACAAGTTCTTGAATAAGGCCACTAAAAGGAGGGATACTGGTCAAGGATAGGGGGCCACGGAGGGTAAGGGACACAGAGTCAAAAAACAAATGGTGACACATGAAGGTAGTGGTTATGGATAAAAGGGGGATTAACAGGTCGACATGCGAGTCGTTTTGTCCAACTACAAAAACTTTGTAAAAGAAAAAAGCGATAGTTGAATACTTTCTACATGAAAGAGGCCACTTCGCCTAGTTTTTTTGCCAAAGTTCTATTGTGCAATAAACATGGTTCTTGGCCAGGCAAAAGTATACTGCATACCGTCGAACACACTTCAACTTTACATTTGGGAAACAACCTTTCACTTTTGAATTGGCGACTGGCCAATCTTTCACACTTGCCTAAATTATGAATTATAGTAAAACACCTGTACAGCGATTGCTGATCCCACTATACACTCCTAAAGTAAGCAGCTCTTGCAATACCTATCGATTTACAACTACTGTACGGGTCACACACCGTGTGCAGTGCGTTTGATGTTGACTGCAACTATCATACAATTACAGGTAAACATTACTACAGTGCCATCATTGTCGTGTCACTAATATTTTCTAAGCTGCTGAGGCTATTGCCATCGGGATGTGTGCTCTTGTTGTGCAGATATATGCAAAAATCATGTAATTGAGACGATAAGGTATGCTCATTTGACTCACCAAAAGTACAGAAAAAGCATGACATTCAGATGACTGAGTAACCTTCTCAAAAACTCTCACCTGAGCAATATCCATCTTTTTTCTCTCCTCTGCAGACATTACCTCAGCATCCTAAAAGAAAAAAAACATACATATTATAAGTTGCACGTAACACAAACACCATGATAATGAAAAACACTAAAGTGCAAACCCTCGGCGGAGACGCACGCACCGTCGCTGGAGAAGGGTTCCATGTAAGCAAAGTTGACGAAGACCGACCTACACAGCCTTCTGTGAAAGGCTGGAGACAAGGTAAGCATGCTACTAAGTGAGGCACATCTTTCGCTGTGCATTTGCCATGTTGTTAGCTCAACAATAGGCTTGGTAAACGTTCTCTGTAGAATTTTAGCCTATGTGAAAACTGTTACGGAATATCTCGCGCAAGCGTGAACAGATTTCCAAACATAGAGGCTATAGAAACGCACACGCGGTAAGCACACTCATGCGCTTAGTGCTAATTGATGGGCTGGGATATTTTACCGTTGTACTGACCCGTCTGTTAGCAGATCGCTGAGAGTCAGTAACGGGCTAGCTACACTACTAAATCACATGCGAGAGTCGATACACGCCCCCCTGCATGGTAACTTCTGGTGCCTGCAAGGTATGCAGAGCAAGCGCATATGGCCGAGGTAAGCCAGGGCTAATTTGTATATTAGCTTGTTCATTTGGTTTTCACACCATGACTTTCGAACGCAGTAGTTTCAGAGAAAATTCTACATATTTTTCGACGTATCCGATGCTGAATACGTGGTATTGTTTGTGGGGCGATTCATGCCTGTGAGATGTTGGGTAACGGACAGACAGACATGATAACTACTGTAACCTTCGCTGTGCATGCGCACCGAAGTTGCATGCATCTGCATCATACGGTACCAGACAAAAAGACCGTAACCGTAATTACATAATTGCTACTCTACACATTACAGTGTGAACTACTCCCTACACAGATACATAAAGATAAAAAACGTACTAAATATTACGTGTATATGTTGGGGACCAATTAAAAACCCGGCCCGTTTTAAAACGGGCCAGACGGCTTTAATTCCGACCCTGACGGTTTTCAAGCCGCCCCGACGGTAAGCCAGACAGTTTTTAAGCAGACACTCGGGATGACCATGTCGTTCATTACAGCATCGTTCATTACCGCGCAACGGCTGTTCCAGCCAACGGCCAACGGCCGTGCATGCAGGGCCGGCAGCAGTGTCCTACCATACCAGCAGCTGTCGTTCCAGCCAGCGGCCTTGCGAGCGCTGTCGTCTACTGCGCCCAGCGGCGTCAGAGAAAACGAGGACAGGCTGGGCAGGTGATCGCGGGAGCAGAGTCATATATGTACCGCCGCGCACACGTGCGCGATCGATCTTGCACGCATGGCCGTGACAGCTAGCCCTGGGCGGGACGAGTGTCAAAGTTCGCGGCCGACTGCTGAGGTAGATCGCAAAATCAGGGCTGGACAGTAGATAGGTTGCTTCTTCCTGACGGCCTTCAATCGAGCTGGACGGCTTTAAAACCGGCTGGCCCGTTTTAAAACCGTCTGGACAGCTTTAAAACGGGCTTCTGGTTTTTAATCGGTCCCCAACATATATACTACATGTGTCTGTTTAGTGGTTATAATAAAGGAATAAGACCACAACAGCATAGTAAAGCATAATTTTTGAAACCGGTACTGTACCTTATCCTCACGGTTTCCTGCCACTGAATCAATGAGAACAAACTGAATCTCCTCATCCATGACCAAATCATAGTCTTTTTGCTGCAGAAATTGCATTACCAAGTGCGGGTTACAGAAAATCCATGTCTACCCTACACTGGTCCCTCATCTTTAAGAAATAACAGTACATACAAATCAGCTACCTTACATTTGTAAACAATTAGCAAAAAGGCAGGTAAAAATAATGGGGTAACTCATTGCTTCATACCTTATTTCTCTCCTTTGCGTCTTTAGCACTAAACCTCACAGTAGCTTTGTCAATTTGCTCATCTTGCCACTTCTTCAGATCAACGTTTGGCCCAGCCTTCACAAATAAAATATATTAGAACATAAAATCAATTGCGACAAAACAGATAGCAATACATGATTTGTTCGACACACCATAATTTTCGCAAAAGCTGTTTTGGTCATTCCCCTAATGTACAATTAGGACATAATATTTCTTGTCTCTGTCGCAGTGATAGACAATATAAGTGGCGTCCACACTCCAGATTGAAGGAGGTATACGGCATTAACAAAGTGATCCTATGATGCACATGCTATAAAGTTGCTATTAAAGCCTCATCAGATATACATACATTACAGTATAAGTAAAATGATTTGGACTTACTTCTGATTCTTCTAGGGGTTCAATATATATCTGTGGTTTCTGGAAATGATGCATACAAATACATGACACATATATAAAGGCTCAAGTAATCTTAATAACTTGAAATGCAATTATATACACTTAATGTGACTTGTGTAGGCGGATAAAAGGCACTGCCCATACAATATCACGTGTATTACACAAACTGAGTTCCATGATCAATGAACTATTGAACTCGCAGGAGTATTAAGGATTCAGTAGAAGCTAGAAGTGCTGAGGGATCAAAAATAACCAAGTATAAATTCTTACGCATTTGTACACAGCAGCAGGATTTTGCTGGTTATTCTTAAGACCTTCTGCTTCTGAAGCAATTTCTCCAACCTATATATTACAGGCCTTGTTAGCTACGTAACCTGGTGCTCATAATCCACAGGTGAGCAAGATGCTTAGGGCTAACTTGTGGTCGTGGTACCTTTGGCTCACAAGTGCACACAACCAGAGAGCTAACTAAATGAGCACCATCACGACCGGTGTAACCTCTTACCCGCCATCTATTTTCAAAATGCCACAAACCGGAAACAAGGCCCTTTATAATAAGAAGCGGTTTGTGTTGTAAAGCAAAAAACCGATCAGATTTTTCTGAATTGGATACACATAGCAATGCCAGTCAACTAACTTGTGTGCATAGCTGTAGCATGCTCTTAACCTATGCGTTTTCTTTCAGGCTTTATCACTAACTCCTGATGAGTCGATTAAACACATAATCCACGTCATTACGCGATATACAGGAACCCAGGTGGTGGTCTCGAGACCCATACTTGTATGAGTCCCTGAACTATATCCTGTTAATCACGTAAACGCACTAATACTGGCAAGCTATTGGCTTTATTACTCCTTACCACATCATCTTCTGGCATGTAGTACCGCTGAACCCGCTCCAACTCAGCTGCCTAGAATATTCAAAAAGGTCACAGTCACTAGATTATGCTTCTTGTGTTAGTTCCTGAAATAATGCAAACAGAAGAGTAGTGTATACACCTTTTTGTGTTCCTCCGTCAGAGCTAACAGTTTTGTTTTATGCTCGTAACGTTCCTTCTCCACCCTGGTAAGCCTGTTGAAAATCGAGAAAACCATTAGTATAGTTGTCTAAATAGTGTCTCTATATAAGAAGAATGCATGCCATTCTTGGAGAGTAGTGCAGTCAGTAAAATATCTTCCTACACCTGACTCGGGTGGTCCCCATAAAACTCTCAGCGTTCATTGGACCTTATGCATGACATTCACTTATCTACACAGCAGTACGAGGCAATTTCTCGGAGCAAAGGAGTTTTTGGACTGTGTATGCAAGCAAGTAAAATATATGTATATGTTTCACCGTTCTACAGAAGCACTGAGATATGGTTAGGGGTGATACAGAGAAGAAGCTAAAGAGAGCCATCCAAGAACATAAAACAACATGATGTGGACTAACACAACAAACCAAGACTACTAGAGGAATGCAACACATTTTTGGAAAGCGAAGGAGCAGTTAGATTTTTCACATGTATTTAGAATCACATAAAACATTACAGTATGTGCAGTGCCCACCAAACAGAGAACATTTCGGCATTAAGACGACCAGCAATTCTTAAACGATGTATTTTTTACCAAATCTAAAATTAAGCCAGTGTAGCATTGAACCTATTGGTATCAGTTTTTGCCAGCTCGTTGTGCGTGGCAGCAAAAATATGGTAACACAATGACAGGCACACTTACAAACAACATACCGTAACCCTCGCTCACATGCGTGCCGAGGGTTTTAAAAACGTACTTGCTATCAGAGAACAGGAACTCCTCATCAGCCAGGTCATCCCTCAGCTCAACCACCTTCTCTGCCCTCCTCTTTCCAAGGTATTCCCAACGAGATACCTTCCGCAACTCAGAGGCCTGCAGCAGTACATTGGTGGGGTATGTACAGTGGACACTTAACCGAATTGTAGGTTAGATACTTAACTGAATTGTAGGAGCACTTAGTTAGTTGAGTGTCAACATCCAACAGCAAAATGCACCATGTTTGGCAATCTAAAGCATCCCTTACACTACGTAGGCAAGGAAACTGTATTATTTGCACTTCAAAAATGTACTCAAAACCCAGG